AATTTAAATACTAATATCTCCGCGAATATTGATGCTACCGGAATGAAACGCATATCATTCTGTAGCCAAGAACGAGGCCTTCTTTCTATCTTAGTTAAAAATCGCTCTGTACCTCGCAAATCGCATGCGAATTTGAAAAAAAAACGGAAAAAAAATATATAAAAATTTTCGCAAATTTGCGTATGTGTTGAAAATTTGCGCAACCTTTTGCCTAATAAAATTTCCTGATGATTAATTTGTCAACAGATACAGCAGTTGTGATTTTTAACATTTAAGTCTTCAATACTGTTGTTGGTTCATCTTTTTTAACATTAATTTTACTCTAAATTATAAATATTTGTGATGTCCAATATTAGAACCTTAATTTGATAAATTAACATCAATAATAAAAATAAAAACATTATGAAAATTGAATAACAGCATATTGATTTAAGATCATTTATTTTTGCATTTTTTTATGAAGATCTTGGATCAAAATCAATAATTTTAAATACTACAATTCTTGATTATTTAATATTTAATAAATTGATAAAATCTTAATTCAAAAAATTCATAAGATAAAAGATAAAATTTAAACAATACAATTTAAAGAGGATAATAAAAAATAATTACTTTAGTCTAATTATATAAGTTTATATTCAAATACCATATATTATTACCCAAATAATTCATTCCAATCAGCATTGTGACTAAAATTTGAATATTGAAAAGGAGGTAAAATAGATAAAGGTTTGCTTATGAGAGATGCTTCAGAATGAATTGTTTCAACAGATGATAATTCAAAATCTTCATTTTTTATTTCTTGATTTGCATTTAAAAACATAAGTGAATCTTCAGTTTGTTTATTAATTGTCAATTCAGAGGCCCATTCAATGAGTATGCCTTTAATGATTTCAGCACTTGGACGCTTGGATGGATCTTTATGCCAACATTTTTTCATCAATTCTATATAACATTGAGGTGTGCCTTCCTTAATTTTAGGTCGAAGTCCTCCAAGAATTTCTAAAGTTAATTCTAGATCATATGCTCTGTTAGAAAATGGTATCTTCCTTGTTGATATTACCCACATAATAATTCCAACACTATATATATCAGAAGCTTGAGTATATGGATTTTTTTTCAATATTTCAGGTGCAATATATGGTAACACACCATATATTTGAGATGACGTACTTTCATCTGCAGGTTTACAAAATCCTAAATCTCCTAATCTTATGAATTTTATATTATCATATGCTTCAGTAATCATTAGATTACCGGGATGAAGATCACAATGAATGTATCCATATTTGTGAATAATTTCTAATCCTACAAGAAAAGAATGTAATAACCATAATCGTACAACCCAAGATAATGTTTTATTTTGTTGAAGAAAATTTCTTAAATTTCCATTTTTCATATATCGTAAAACTAATGCATATTCCTTTGTCTTTGGATCTTGAGTTATACCAAAAATTGGCAGAACATATTTGGAACGACAGGCGAAATTTGCTAGTAACTGTATATTTATAATGATATAAAATAATTATATTTATGTATAATACACAAAATATTTCGAATATTAATATATTTAATATTTACCTCTTTTGAAAATTCAATGCTCATTTTATTTGAATTTGTAAGTTTTTTCAAAGCAACTTGATTGAAATTGTATATTTCAAAGATCTCTTCAGGTATATCTATCCATTCTGCTTTCCAAACAGTGCCAAATGCTCCTTGATCTAAATATTCAATATCTTTAAATTCATTATAATCAATCCGTCTCCAAATTTCCCATTCTTTTGCATTTTCATCCAACTCTGTCATTTGAATAATCACATTGACAACACTATCATTATCTATAGAAAAGTATAGTATATATTCTAATTCTAAATATTTGCAATCTTTACATATATTTTTTCGTATATTTAAATTTCCACAACTATGACATCTACCAAAATCTTGAAAATTCTTCTTACAAACTTCAATGCAATCATTTTTTTGCCAACAAATACAGCAGTTGTGATTTTTAATATTTAAATCTTCGATACTGTTTAAACTTTCGATGGGTGACTTAGAAATTGCTAAACCAATATCCTTACTATTAGTATTTTGCGTTGATTTATTTTGATATTTCTTAATTGTTGAGATTTCAAATTCATCTCTGTATAAAGATTCAATTAATTGTTGGCCACGATTATTTCCCCCGTTAGCTGATTTTAAAATCCACAGAACTGCCTTCTCTTTATCTTCTGTTGTTCCGATTGATTTTAAATAACAATTTCCTAGACTACACTGTCCACTACTATTTCCCCCTTCAGCTGATTTCAAGTACCACTGAAATGCTTTCTCTTCATCTTTTGCGGTTCCAATCCCATATTGATAACAATTTCCAAGATTACACTGTCCATTATTATTTCCCCCTTCAGCTGATTTCAAGTACCACTGAAATGCTTTCTCTTCATCTTTTGTGGTTCCAGTCCCATTTTCATAACAAACACCAAGATTATGTTGTCCAGTAATATTTCCCCCTTCAGCTGATTTCAAGTACCATTGAAATGCTTTCTCTTCATCTTTTGCGGTTCCTATTCCATCATCATAACAAAGTCCAAGATTACACTGTCCATCACTATCTCCTCTTTCAGCTAATTTCAAGTACCAATGAAATGCTTTCTCTTCATCTTTAGTTGTTCCAACCCCATGTCGATAACAACTTGCAAGATTATATTGTCCGGTAATATTTCCCCCTTCAGCTGATTTCAGGTACCACTGAAATGCTTTCTCTTCATCTTTTGTGGTTCCTATCCCGTTATCATAACAAAGTCCAAGATTACACTGTCCATTACTATTTCCTCCTTCAGCTGATTTCAAGTACCACTGAAATGCTTTTTCTTCATCTTTTGTGGTTCCAATTCCATTATCATAATAAAATGCGATACTACATTGCCCATTACTATTCCCTCCTTCAGCTGATTTCAAGTACCATTGAAATGCTTTCTCTTCATCTTTTGTTGTTCCAATTCCATGTTCATAACAGCGCCCAAGATTAAATTGTCCAGTAATATTTCCCCTTTCAGCTGATTTCAAGTACCACTGAAATGCTTTCTCTTCATCTTCTGAGGTTCCAATCCCATATTGATAACAACATCCAAGATTACACTGTCCATCACTGTTTCCCCCTTTAGCTGATTTCAGATACCATTGGAATGTTTTCTCTTCATCTTTTGTTGTTCCAATCCCATATTCATAACAAAATGCAAGATTATTTTGTCCTGTAATATTTCCTCCTTCAGCTGATTTCAAGTACCACTGAAATGCTTTCTCTTCATCTTCTGCGGTTCCAATCCCATGTCGATAACAAAGTCCAAGATTACATTGTCCATTACTATCTCCTCCTTCAGCTGATTTCAAGTACCATTGAAATGCTTTCTCTTCATCTTTTGTTGTTCCAATCCCATGTTCATAACAACGTCCAAGATTAAATTGTCCAGTAATATTTCCCTCTTCAGCTGATTTGAAGCAACATTGAAATGCTTTCTCTTCATCTTTTGTGGTTCCATTTTCATTACAATATATATTTTCCATTTATGCAGAGTATGTAAGTTTTTAAAAAGAAAATTTTGAAATTTAATATAAATTTGAGAAGATTTAAATTGATGAATTTACTATGTAAACCAAGGTTATAAGCGAATAGTAAAATTGTATTCAAATAAGTAATTTATATATGTATTAAAATATTAATTATAAGGAGGGTGGCTCTTACACACTAGTTATAAATTTTATGATTCACGTTGATCATCATTTGCTAATTTCTAGAATTGGTTCATGGCTTCATTGTAGTATCATTATCTTCTATAATTAGAACTTCATAAGCAATAAAAAAAATATATAATTAATAAGCATTTATCTATTTTGTATACCGATCTACAATTAAGAATGTTCTTAGAAATTTCTGATTATTGTTCAACTAAAAATAGAAATCTTTTTGGAAATCCATAATAGATTTCGACAATCCATCGATACAATCAAATAAAGAAATATTATCAAATTTTAAATAAATATGTTAGTATTATTAGTAATTATTATATATTTGGTGTTCAATGAATGATTTATTATTGTCTAATAATTTTCTGAGAATAACAATTGAGAACGTTGCCAAGCAACGACAATCAAAAAAATATAAAAAATAATAGTTCAAATCATTATTATTAAAAATTTCTCATGACATCCAAAACTGTTGGCTTTAATAATTTATATTTAATATATTTATTAATTTATATTATCACCACTTAACAAGTTCGGTGTCTATCATTATAGAAATCTGTGACACTGGTAGTAATTATTATTTGATTCAACTGAAGAGTTTAAAGAATTATTTGAATGACAAGAAATACCTTGAGGTACAACATTTTCTCGCACATCATATTTTCTATTTATTATGTTTTATTATTTATTTCATCATATCATATTATATTTAATTATTCAAATATTATATTAAGGCATCATATTAAAATCAATTTCAAAATATGATTTGAGCCCTAATAGAATAAGTGTAAGTATAGAAATTATAATTATTCATTAAAAGAACTACAACCACTGTATTTTACATACTCTCGATAATTAAATTTCTCGATAAATCCAATCATCATCACAACATTCTTATATGATTGGCATTAGATGGATTAGAATGAACTTGATTTTGATATACATTATTTTAAGTTGATGAATTGAAATTATAATTTCACTTTGAATCATGATTGATTGATTGATTGATTATTATTATTATTATTAATATTTTATATAATTCATATTTTATTGAATTATATTTATTATTTTATTTTATTTTTATTTTTTTTTTTATTTTATTTTTTATTTTATTTTTAATTTAATATTTATTATTTTTATTTATTTTTATTTATTTTTTTATTAATCATATATATTTATAGAATAATCCATTGGCTCAAAGTTATGCGCTAAGAATGAATCTCATTCTTCATCTTTTAAATTCTCAGAAGGAGGTGATGAAGATCGTTAATGATAATGATGGATTATCTCGATCGGCAATTTTATATGAAAAATTAGAGGATAACGAATTACCCACAGATTTTATAGATCCAAATATGATGGTTAAAGGGAATAAAGCGGGTGAAACAAACGAACTGTTTGATCAACAACAGAAATAAGGGAATTTATTATAATTTTCATTTTCGGATCTTGGTGTGATATATTAATGATGACGATGATATTAATAATAAAAAATCACTAAAGAAAAAAATACTTAGAGGAATCTCAAAGATAAGGAAATATCATCCTCTGCTCAAAATAAGTTTAAGGTATAGTCATAGGAACATGCTGATTCAGTAAAAAATGAATATTATTTAGAAGTTTATGATCGCTTGATATCCTAATTTATTACGACTTTTAACTTGTCTTCACTTCCATCATCACTCTCCTATCATCACTTCTGTCATCATTCTTTTTCATTCTTCTTTCATCATCACATAACAATTATAGACAATAATAATAGAATTCACCATAATCCCTTTGCTGAGGAGGAAGATACATATCTTAACGTACGTGAAAATTTGCATCACATACTGTAATTCAAATAATATCTTTTAATAATTATTGTACATATTAACGGATGCATAAAAGTCTATTGTCTAATTATGGATCGCTTTACATTTTTTTTAATTTGCAAATAAGTATTTAAACTATCATTTCTAGTAAAAATTTTTTTTTAGTTTTTTTAATAACTTTCGAACATAAAGGTGGATTGCGATTTAAGTTAAATTTTTCTATTATTACGCGAACCAAGAATCAAGTATTTTTTTTCAATACTACATTAATGTGATCAATGAAAATCTTCTGATACTACCAAAATTATTATTTCTACTAATTTCTTATATCGTGATTAATGTTATTGCTATTATTGTGATTATGATTATTATTGTAATAATTAATATTTCCTTTTGAGGTGATATTTTTTGTTGGTGGTGATAAACTTTCACCTGATGAAAATGATGATGATGAATCAGGAAAAATGTTAGTTTTAATCAAAGGAATTGAAGTCAATAATTGAAAATAAATCTATTTACTATTATCCATATTTATTTAATTTTTGAATTTATTAAATTTTTCCTAAAGATAATTCTCCCACCTTTTTATTAATTGGCATAATTTTATTATATGAAATAACAAATAACTGAAAATATGAAAACGAATAAATAATATAAATTTTTTAAATTTAAACAAGAATTAAGAAGAAAAAGGATCGCTTTTAAAAATTCTTTACTTTAAATAATTTGAAATGAAATGATGCTAAATTATTAATAAAAAAAAAAAACTTAAGCGATTTTATTGTTACGTTTATTAAATTAAATGTAAATAAAATAAACAAAATCTTCTGTGACCAAAATGAATGCAACTTAAGAATTACGCTTTATTTTTCTCTGTAGATGTAAACTACATGGCGAATCGCATGCCGTTCATTCTGTACATTTCAAAAAGGTTCAACTAAATGTAAATTATTATTTTAGAAATCTATCAGATTATAAAGTAACCATTTTATTATTTTTCATGATACTAAATAAATGGAAAAAAAATTTAAGATATTTAACATGATATAGTGTAAATTATTTATTATTATTTAGACAAGATTCACTTCTTAATAAATGATGCGTTCTCCAATTTTATGAAGAATTTTCATCTTAGAAATACTTCTGCACATTGAATTATTTCAGATATTTGAACTGATATAAAATATCTTTTTACATTTTTTTTTTTACATTCGCATAAATATTTGCCAATAGCATCGAAATAACGCACATAACGAGAAAACAGTCTCGGAACTTGTTTTAAATAGAAATCGCATAATTTTTATCATTTTCAATTTTTAAGTGAACATAGTGACGTTTTAATTTATTTAACAAATAGATTTAATATTAAAATAAAAAATCATCTAATTGTACATTTTGGAATTTGTTTGCTTAATAATCTTAAATACTTCATAATCTACAATAGAAAAAAAAACCCTAGTTTTTCTAATAGGTTTTTTATAATAATTCTTATTTCTAGTATCATAATTACACCAACATTCGTTATCTTGAGTAAAATCAGAAACACTTGATTTCATTATAAATTCATAATTACCAAAGCATGGACCATACGTATTTTGACCATTAGGATCATCATAGAATAGAGCTTCACTACTATCAATAACTCGGCTGAGAATTGAATTTCGAATTTTTCCATTTTTTAATGAAAAAATGAAACTATCTTTTGTTTCCATAACACCTCCTGTTGAATTATCCCAAGCTAAAGGATTATAACCACCGACTATTTCATCAGTTCCCTCAACTTTTGCAAGAACAATTGTGCCAGCATGTCCATTACACATCTCCCAAAATGTTTTGGGACGAAAACCATCTCGACTTCCTCGAAGAATTAATTGAAATTCATAAGGTATATTTTCTAAAGAATAAGTAGTTGATTTTTGATCAATCCAAGATGAAAGTTCCGCAACATGTTCTTTGTTGATTATAGTTGAGAATGAATCAAATTCAAGGGTTGAAATTGTTCTTGAAGGCAATTCAGAATTGGAAATAGTTCTCACTGGCAAAATAAGTGATTTAACACGTTTATTTGGGAGCATATGATGTAGGATTATGTCATCCCAAAGTTGTTCATCAAGGATTTTTCTGTAAGGCTTTACTTTCTCCCAAATATCTTCACTAGAAATTTGAAAATATCGGATAAGTGGTAAACATTGCTGTAGAGTTTTTTTCAAAGTCATGAAATTTTTAATAGACCATTCTTCTAAATTTGTAGGTAAAGTGGGATTTTGAGCAATTCCCCATTTGAGAACGTAATCCCAAATTTCAATTTCTTCAACTTTCAAGTCTTCTCTTTTCAAAATAGAAATTAATGCTGTTTCATGAAGTGAAGTTAAATCTTCTGATTCGAAAATCAAATTTGGATGTTTTGCAATAATATCATTATAAAAATTTTCCAAATCTTCAAATTCATTACCATCAAAGATTGAATGATAAATAAAAGAGAAATGAGTTCTTAACCAAGAAGATTTAGATTCAATAAGGTAACTTTCTAATTTTACTGATAATTCTTTAAGTTCTAATTCATTGGAATTGACCATTAATTTATAAATGGTTTTGGCATCAAAATTTTCAACATCAACTATTCCACCATAGATATATCTATAAAATATATTTTATTTTATCAATAATCTCGAACTTTAATATAATTAATTAAATATTTAATGTAGTAATTGATTTTTGACTTACTTAAGAATAATTTCGAATATTTGAGCAGAAATATTTGGTTTAATAATAGTTTTAAAATTATTTTTATTCGTAGTAGCGTTCTCTAATTCTTTATCAAAGTGTGATGAACGATAACGTAAGACAACTGAATGTGCAGTAAAAGATTTCGTGTTTCTTTCTTTATCAACTTCAATGACAACATCATAATCTTTTTTGTCATTAAGAAGTTCTGAAAAATCTTGAGATAATTTATCAAAAAATTTAAAAGACATTTTTTATTATTTGAAACCGCACAAACCTCCATTGTATTGATCATTAGAGATTTTGTCAAACATAAAAAATTCATGTGTAACATGCCAAGTTGATTAGCTCTGCTCTGTAGAAATTATTTACAATAGTACAACAAGGATTTGCGTAATGTGATACTTTGATGAATGATCTTATTGGATCAGCAAATCTTTCATGATATTAAATTGGATTTTTATACGGAAATTAAATACAACTAAAAATGTAAAAATGACCAAATCTATAATCATTAGTTATGTATAAAAAAAAAAATTTTCAGGGAATAAGGCTAATAAACAACAACGGGAGTGCTATCCTTCTTTTCCAAGGTAACACTTCAGTTCTGAAGTAGGGGGTAATAGGTTGGTATTGATAATCGTATCGAGGTTTACTGCTTGAACTACTTTTAGAAAGATAATACAAAAATATATCAAGGAGAGCAAAGTGAAGGAAAGTTTATTTGATCATATTTTTTGAGGAACTATTTTTTTTTATTAAAATAATTAAATTAAATTTATTCGTAATTATTATTTGACTTTTATTTTAATTTTCCAATTTTGGAAAATTGAAAAGCGTTTTGTTGCTTTTATTATATTTGTCAAGGCAATTATTTATAAAAAATTTTGATTAAAAGTTTCTTAATTCAGGTTAATTAATTACACAAAAGCCAACCATTTATAAGTTGAAAATTATTTATTAATTTTTATTGAAATTTTATTTAAAAAAAACTTTATGTGATGCGAATTATCAAGCTAAGCGAAAAAAAATAAACAATCACCTAAAATTGTGAAATTATCATTGAATTCTGTATATGCATGGTATGTTTGCATTTAATTATTACAAAAAGGCTGAAGAAATTTCTAAAACTAACGGGTTTCACAGCAAAAGTGGCAGCATATTGGATTAAGTTCGAGTAAATTTTTACAAAGATAATAAAATAAACATAATAATAATAATAATAAAGATAAATCTTTCTTCATCTTCGGTAGGTGGTAAGTCAATGCAAGAAAGTTCAGTACAATAATTATTTTGACATTTCAATCGTTATCAATATATTATTTATTATCTTATTTGTAAGCGTTGTTTTATTTTGCAACTGTTATTCGTGTAGCGATTCAAAATAAAAGAATAAATTAACGTCATACAGAATTTATATTTACATAACTGCATATGGTAATTTATAATTATAATGCTGTGTATTAAAAGGTTCCTAAATCAGGATAATTAATTGCAAATTAATATTTTTATTGCACGAATGTCAGGTTTAAATTTCTAAAATAAGAAATAAGTTGATCACAATGTGATATAAAATATCATTAATTTCCTATGGGTATCACCGATTGTCAAATACAAAGATGATAATAATAAAGAAAAAGACAATAGAAATACTTTCTTCACCTTCGGTAAATGGTAAGTTAATACAAGAATGCTCAGCCCGATAATTGTGTTGGCATTTGTATTGTTATCTGTTGATCCAATTCCAATCTAGGATCTGGATAATCGTGATTAGATTCCAAAAAATGCGTACATATAGTTATTTTGTAATTTTTCTTATGTTATTTTCACTTCCACTTAGATTACTTCCACACTCAATTTAATAAATACAGTCGTTCTAATACTACCATCACATTTTGCATGAAATACTAATGTTTCTACTTCTTTGACAAAGTGGTTGGAATATTTTTATTCTTATAATTTATCTATTTCAAACAATAATAATTTTCTTATTATATCTTTCAACTATAAAAAGGGCTACACGAATCGATTTTATAATATTAGAATCTCTTATAGTAGCTTTTCTAGACTAAGTAGTATTTTAAACTATTATTACTCATATAATATCACATAATATATAATATTCATCTTCGTTTCTTTTTAAGAAACCTGCTCGAAAATATTTGTTCTTTTTAATACATTAGAATTTGCTTCAAATACTTTAATTTTGGGAAATTTGCTTGTTTCTATTATAACATTTGTTTTCATGATTCGGAATGGAATTATATTTCACGAATTTTTTTTTTTATTACCATTTTATTATAATCATTAATTTTTTGTTATCATTTCGTTTTGTAAAAGAACTTTTAAAAATTACTATAAACATGGTAAAGAAATGATTTAAAATATCATCACATGAAAAAATAAATTTTTTGCTGAAAAAATAAATCATTATTGCATTAAAAGTGAATTATGAAAAAAAATAAATAAAAATAATTTTTATTTTCATACATATATTATCAAGCATTTACTTGAAAATAATCTTATCATCTAATTGCTTTGCAATTTTTGCAGCCAAATTTGAATTCACCACTAAAAAAAAAAAGTAAAAAGTGAATTGGTACAACTATGATCGGCAAATTTTTATCTTAATAATGCAAAAAAAAAATAACAAGTCAATTATTCATCAAATAATTCATTCCAATCAGTATTGCTAATATTAAAATTTGAATATTGAAAAGGAGGCAAAAGTGGTAATAGTTTGCTTATGAGAGATGCCTCCGAATGAATAGTTTCAGTAGATAACAATGAAAAATCTTCATTTTTTATTTCTTGATTGCATCTAAGAACTCATGAATTGACATTTAATGAACAAACAGAAAATTCACTTAAGTCCATTCACTTAATATATCTTCGGCTATTTCAGTACTTGGACGTTCAGACGGATCTTTGTGCCAACACTTTTTCATCAATTCTATATAACATTGAGGTGTGCCTTCTTTAATTTTAGGTCGAAGCCCTTCAAGAATTTCTAAAGCTAATTCATGATCATATGCTCTATCAGAAAATGGTATTTTCTCCGTGATATTACCCACATATTAATTCCAACACTATATATATCAGAAGCTTGAGAATATGACTTTTGTTTCAATATTTCAGGAGCAATATATGGTAATAAACCATATTTCTCGGATGATTTGATTTCATCCAAAGGTCTACAAAATCCTAAATCCCCTAATATTATGAATTTTAAATTATCATATGCTTCAGTAATCATTAGATTACCATTATGAAGAACTTCTAATCCTTAGAGAAAAGACTGTAATAGCCATAATCGTTCAGTCCATGATAATGCTTTATTTATAGTAAAGTCCTTTGATTTCGGTAAATATTTATCATAGATATCAACTATCTTATACAAAATTGCAGCCAATATGAGCTCTGTAACTTTTATTATAACCAGTTCTAATATTTTTTAGTGAAAATATAATCTTTACTTATGCTCAAATAAAAAATATTTATTAAATTTTTTCACAAAATTTATTAGATATAAATTTAAAAAACATATGCATGTAAATATTCTTAAAAATAAAATTATATGAAAAATAAAACAATATATGCTTTGTTATATAATTATTTAATTTTAATAAAATATTCTATCTATTATAACTTTTTGAAGGAAATTATATAAAAAGAATTGTAAATGTTAATTGATTATACAAGTATCTTTATTTCTGATAAAAAAAAGAATAAATTAAATATTAAAAGTAAAGAAAATTCTTATATTCTGATCTTTAATCTAATTATATTAATAAAAAGATCAATAAAAATTTAAAATATTATTTATTTATTTGTATTATTAAAAACTAAATTATAAAAATTATAAATTTAATAAAATAAAAATAATAAAAATTTAATATTTGGTTGGATAACCGTTATTTCTTATAGCTTCAGAAACTCTATATCACATACTTTTTACTAATTGAATAAGTTTACTTTGATCAATTTTGTATCATTCAGTTTGTAATGCTGCAAAAAATTCATTTTTATTTTTTGAAATAGGTCTATGTTTTCTAATTCTTTTCTCAAGTTCATCCCATAAATTTTCAATTGGATTGAGATCAGGACTTTGAGCTGGCCAAGGAAGTACTTCAATTAAATTTTCTTGCTTCCATTCTTTAGTTTTTTTTGAAGCATGAAAAGGTGCATTATCATCTTGAAAAATATGATTTTCTGTACCTAAATTAACTAAAAATGGAATTGAATGTTTTTTAAGTAATTCTATATATTTATCAGAATTGAGTGTACCTTCAATCAAAACTAATGGACCTAATTTATCTTTGCAAAAACATCTCCAAACCATAACTTCAATTGAATTTTTAACTGTAGTTTTTAAACATTCAATTTTATATTGTTCATCTTTTCCACAATACCCATCTTCTAGAATCATTATAGAATGATTCAAATCTTGATTCATCCCTCCAAATAATATTTTCCCATTCCTTAATCCAATTTTTTTTTATATTGCACCAACCAAATAGTTTTTTTCTATTTTGTTCTGAGATAAAAGTTTTTTTTTTTTTGCAGCATGTTCACTATAGCCTTCTTCATATAAAACTCTTTGAACTGTTCTACTAGAAATTGAAAAATTTATGTTTCATTGAATTTTTCAGTAATTTCAACTAATGTTAAATTTATATCAGCTTTAATAATTGATCAGTTAATATTTTTGGTCTATCTGATTGTGGAATAGTATAAGTTAAACATACATAATCTAAAGATTTGGATAAATGTGAATGGCTCATAGTTTTGAACATGCGATTTTGGCAACTTTTGAGGTTGTTGAAAATTTTCTAGAAAAATCTGGAATAACACAATTATTGTATGGCGTGAAGCAGCTTTGTGTAATCTGATGTATGATCAATACTCACAACTATATAATTATACTCAGTATCTAAAAAAGCATTTCTTTAGAATGAAAGCAAGATCAACTTTTCTATTACACCAGTAAATTTTTTTAGGCGTAATATTACACTATTTACAAAAAAGATCCGTTTTGAATTCGCTCGCAATTTACTAACAGGCAGCGATTTCCTACTAAGGTATTTCTAAGATGGATCAAAAGCCCTTGTTCCTGTCTATATGTCAATATATTTTTAAATTCTGTAGCTTCGATAATAATCGAGATATTGACGTTTGATCCTAGACGTCCGTGAAAAATTTTGTAAATAGTTTTTACGAAAATTTCCATAAATTTTTTATGAAATTTTGCGCGGATGTCCGACTTTAAACGCGAATATCTCGATGAATATCAATGCCATAGGAATGAAAGACATATGAGAATGTAGCCAGGAATGAGGACGTTCGATCCATAAAAGAAACACTTTAATAAAAATCGCTCCCTGTTACGTAAATCACGAGCAAACTCAAAAAACAGAAATATTTACATAATCTTTAGAAAATTTACGCCTTAAAAAATTTTCTCATGCTATCAACATAGTCATGGGGTGCGAGAATTTTATTTTGTTTCAAGATTTCTTCAAGGGCGGAATTGTTTTACATATTTGCCAAAACATCCATATCTAGTGAAGCAGATTCCATTTCTCCTAATGAAGCGGATTCTACCTCTCCTACCTTTCATGGTGCAATGACAGTTTTTAACTCTACCTCTCATAGTGAAATGACAGTTCCTACCTCCCTCAGTGACTTTGAGACAGAAGGACTGAAAAAATATTGTCAATTTTTGGTGGAAAACTGGAAATTTCCATCCAAATGCAAAATGGACTAAGAGATGTAAGTCTCCTATTTTCTTCAACAACTCAATATTTCATTTGAAATGGCTGTTAATTATCACCAGATTACCATGCGAACTAATGACTGGTGTCACCTTGAACGATTATATTACTCGAACACAAATATAATGTGAAGAGTTTTTGGAATGGAAAAATAGTACCGTTCGTGTAGTCAAAATTCCTTCACCTTTTATGAGGGTCTTATTTGTACATTTGTAGCGAATTTAGGTGTAGTATTTGGTCCCGTGCTGCGCACTTTTGCTGACATTAGATTTTGCGGAGTGAACAGTGAGTGTTTTCTTTTCTTAAATATCCTACTATTCCAAGCATTTTTCTGTTACTTACTATTATCGACAAAAGCAACAAAAACATCCAAGAAAACAAAGACGAGTACCCAGCGGTGAATATGATGGAGAGGTACGAAGTGTTTTTAGCCTTAATTATTTGTTGATGTGATCGTGATTGTGTTAAATTTCTAATATTGATAGTAACAAATACTCTTAGCATATGCCCTGGCCCAATCTTATAATAGAGGTTGCTTATTCCCAAAGTGAGTCAGACCTTAAGAATGAAATAGAGAAATACTGGCTCCTTCCAAATCGGGTTCACGATGCAATTGCCATTAAACTAAACTGTACATCAGATAATATAATTCCAACGGAGGTGACTATAAACAATGACAATTTCTGCACAGTTCTCTTGGCACTAGTTGAAATATTTATTCTTTAAATTGGCATGGCATTATTGTGTGAAAAATAGAACAGTCGTTGGTGCACTTGCTCCCATAATGGTATGTTATACTATTTCGTATTTTTTTTTTTTTAGTACAGAATTGAATGAATTTAATGTTTTTTTACTTAGTTATAGTTTGGAACTATAAACTGACATGGCAATCCGATTAGCATTCTACCCAGATGTGTTATTAATATTCTGTTAAAATGCATTTACGATCTCAATTGATCTCTTTGACGTCCGGTTTAATATTTTAAATCTCTAAAATTTGACATATACTTAGTTATACAAATAAAATATAATAATAGTAATAATAATAATATTTTAACCAAATATATAATATTTGCTCCACTGAGATAATGAGTCGGGCATCACGTATTTCATTTTCTTTATCAATGAAGATTATATATATATATAATATAATTATTTTTGTAGAGTAGGGGTTGCTGAAATTTTGCCTATTACGATTGAGAAAATGTATATTACCATATATTGCATGTAAATAAGTAAAAATGCGTATTAAATGTGTACTGCATGTAAATAAATAAATCACTATCTCCACCCGTGATTAAACCATCCGTGATTAAAACCAACGTGATCGCGCCCATCCCGAATTAATTTTCCGATTGCGGGATGCACCACATAATTATCCTAAACGACTAAAGAGTTTGAAGAAATATTTGAAGGACAAAGAAATACCTAACTTTTTCTCTTATCATACATTTTATAATATATTATGATTATTTAATTTATTTTATTTATCATGATTGATATTTATCACACAATATTCACGTATTCATACATATTATTATTATTTGATTATTATTCTTTGAAAATGACGAGGAGGATGATGGTGATGAAACATATCCCAAAGTTATTAAAATACATCAAGAATCATCAAAAGATTCATTACGTGATAATAAAAATAATAATAATAATGAGAATAGGGATAAGTATAAAGAATCAAAATTATCAATTATTCGAAAAAAACCAAAACCGCTGCCACAACCACTGACACCACCACAACGACGTAAAGAAAATAATCATATTTCACAATCGGATCACTTTCTCATTGATAATTATATTTCTCAATCAATCCAATAATCATAATCATCACAAAATCTTTGACAAAGATATTATCGGATTAGAAGAATCAGTTTATGAACTTGATTTTGGTATTTAATTATCTAAAGTTGATGGATTGAAATTTATAATTTCACTTCTAAACCATGATTCAAACGAAGTCAATAAGAATGCTGACTTTAGTTATTGGAGTAACGGTGCATATTCATGTTCATATATTTGATCTTCGTATTAAAATTGGTTTCGAAAAGTGAGAAAACGTGCAAAACTTGAATGATGGGATGATGAGAATGATGAACCATTTTCCAAAGTTACTATACTTAAACAATAATCATTAAAAGATTCATTGCATGATAAATTGTATCTTGATAATAATAATAGGTATGGAAATCGAAATAACATAGGCATCTAACTATAATTATTCATTGACAAGAAATACATCGCTACAACATAAAGAAAATAATTGTACTCCACATACTCTTTGATAATCATATTTCTCAATTAATCCATCCTACCTTCATCACAACAAAAATATTAGATGGATTAGAAGAATTAGTACGTGGCGTAAATTTAAAAGCTTGAAATATATAATTACATAACAGATGCATTTAGATTTTCTATGTATCTGCATATTTTATATAATAATAAATGATAGATAATATAATAAAAATATTTTTAACGAAAGATTGAATGATAACGTAGGTATAACAAATTAGTCACAATATCGTGATAACTGCCCTGAAAAAACTTTTTAAGTTTCAGATCAATAATAATTCATATTTACGATGTATTTTCAATTAAATTGGATTTTAAATAAATAATAAATAAATTATGGCATTAAATACAGGATACAAATTAATTATGAGATTATATTATCTAATTGTACAATTTGAAATTTATTTTTTAATAATCTTAAATACTTCATAATCTACAATAGAAAATTTTTCATCAGTTATTCTAATAGATTTTTTATAATAATTGACATTGGTACCATAAAATTCATAATCACACAAACATAATTTATCTTGACTAAAATCGGAAACTTCTGATTTCATCATAAATTCAAAATTACCAAACACTGGACCATAAGTATGCTGACCAATAGAATCATAATATAATAGAGCTCTACTATTATTTATAACTCGACTGAGAATTGAATTTTGTATATTCCCATTTTTTAATGAAAAAATGAAACTATCATTTGTTTGCATAAAACCAAATTTTGTTGAATTATCCCAAGCTAAAGGATTATAACCACCAACTATTTCATCAGTTCCTGCAATCTTTGCAACTACAATTGTACCAGCATGTCCATTACAAATCTCCCAAAATGTTTTGGGACGAAAACCATCTCGATTTCCTCGAAGAATTAATTGAAATTCATAAGGTATATTTTCTAACGAATAAGTAGTTGATTTTCGATCAATCCATGATGAAAGTTCTGCAACATGTTCTTTGTTGATTATAGTTGAGAATGAAAATTCAGAGGTTGAAATGGCTATTGAAGGTAATTCAGAAGATGAAATGATTCTTGCTGGCAAAATAAGTGATTTAATAGGTTGATTTGGAAACATAAAATATTGTGTTAAGTCATCCCAAAGCGGTTTTTCAAGAATTTTTTTATAGGGCCTTATGTTTTTCCAAATATCTTTACCAGGAATATGAAAATATCGAATAAGTGGTAAACAGTGTTGTAGAGAAATTTTCAAAGCCTTGAAATTTTCTTTGGACCAATCTTCCAAATTAGTAGGTAAAGTAGGATTTTGTACGATTCCCCATTTGATAATATAATCCCAGATTTTAATTTCTTCGACATTCAAGTCATCTCTTTTTAAAATAGAAACCAATGTTGCTTCTTGGAGTAAAGTGAAATCTTCTGATTCAAAAATCAAATTTGGATGTTTTATAATAATATCTCCATAAAATTTTTTCAAACCTTTAAATTCATTACTATCAAAGATTGAATGATAAATACGGGAGAAATGAGTTCTTAACCAAGAAGCTTTAGATTCGATAAGGTAATTTTCTAAGTTTCCTGATAGTTCTCTAAGTTCTAATTCATTAGCATTGACCATTAATTCATAAATAGTTTTGGTATCCAAATTTTCAATATCAACAACTCCACCATATATATATCTATAAAATTTATTTTTATTTTATCAATAATGTCGAACCCTAATATAATTAATTAAATATTTGATGTAGTAATTGATTTTTGACTTACTTAACAATAATTTCGAGTATTTGAGCAGAAATATTTGATTTAATAATAGTTTTGACTTGATTTTTATTTGTAGTAACGTTCTCTAATTTTTTATTAAAGTAGGATGAACGATAACGTAAGATAACCGAGTGTGCAGTAAAAGATTTCTTATTTTCTTCTTTATCAACTTCAATGATAACATTACATTCTTTTTTATCATTAAGAAGTTCTGAAAAATCAAGAGATAATTTGTCAAAAAATTTAAAAGACATTTTTTATTATTTAAAATTTCAAACTGACTGCACAATCGACATTTAATATCTGTTGTACAATTTATTGTCTTCCATTTAAAACAATCAATGGCCTTAATTGTTTCACAAAATCAAAGTGATATGCTCAGGTGAAATAAAATCATGTCATATGTTCAAAATTAAAGATTTTATTTCTTATCTTGAAATATATTCGAAAACTATTTGTAGTTATCATTATTATATTAAATAAAACAATAAAGATAAATATTTGAACTGATATAAAGTATTTTTAACAAAAGATTGAATTATAAAATAAGAACAACAAACTAGTCACCGATATCGAGATAATTGACTCGGAAAACTTTATTAGTGTAATGACATTCAGTTCAATGATAATTCATATTCACGGTATAATATTGATTTTTTTTTTTTTTATAATCTTAAATACTTCGTAATCCACAATAAAAAATATTTATTAATTGTTTTAATAGGTTTTTCATAATAAGTATTGAAATCTCTACGACAACAACATCCTTTATCTCGAGTAAAATCGGAAAAATTTGATTCCATCATAAATTCACAATTACCAAATTTTGGATCGCAACCACTACTCTGATTTTGACAGTTTAGAGCTCTACAACTCGGTCGGTTGAGAATTGAATTTCGAATATGACCATTTTTAATGAGAAAATGAACCTGTGATTTATTTCCACGAAAATGTTTGAGTTTTCCTTTTCCGAGCTCGAGGAAAATAAACACAAACGGCTGAGTTATTCCAAGCTAAAGTATCATAAACATAAACACTAACGGTAGAGTTATTTGAGTTATCCCAAGCTAAAGGATTATAACCACCAATTATTTCATCAATTCCTGCAGCCTTTGCAACCACAATTGTACCAGAATGTCCATGGCACATATTCCCAAAATTTCTTGGGATGAAAAACCATCTCTACGTTCTCATAAGAGATATTTGTTAAAGTAGTCGATCGTCGATCAATCTATGATGATGACTAAAGAATATAAAGTAATATTTGAAGGACAAGAAAATTTCGAGGTAGAGGTATACCAAAATTTTTTCTTATCATACTGTATATTTTATAACAAATTATGATTATTTTATTTACCATGTTTGATTATTTATCACATAATATTCATACATAATATTATTAAGTCTTCATATTAAATTTGATTTCGAAACGGGAAAAGAATGCTCAAAACTTTGAATCCCAATTATTCAAGATTATTTTTCTTTTGAAAATGACGAGGATGATGATGACGATGATGAAACATATTCCAAAGTTTACTATACATCTGCAAGAATCATTACAAGAATCATTAAAAGATTCATTACGTGATACGTTGAATCTTTGATAATAACAATAACAATAATAATAATGAGAATAGGGAAGGTATGGTGAATCGAAATACGCATAATAATTATTCAAAAGAAATCACAACCACTGCCACCACCAACCTTCCACAACGACGCGACATAAAGAAAATAACCGTATTTCATATTCATTATATTCTCAATTAATCCAATCATCATCACAATGATCTTTAGCAAAAATGTTATCGCATTAAATGAATTATAAGAATTAGTTCATGAACTTGATTTTGATGTTAAATTATCTAAAGGAGATCTATTGAAATCTAAAATTTCTCTTTCAAATCATGATTCAAATGAAATCAAGAAGAAAGCTGCTTTAGTTATTGGTGCAGTGATGCAGATAATGATTATTTTTATTTTATTTTATTTTTAATTGATTTATTATTTATTTTTATTAATCATATTTTTTTATAGAATAATATATTATCTCAAAGTCGTGCAATAAGAATTAATCTCATCCCTTATCTTTTTGAATCAAACTCTCATTCGAAGAAGGAAATTATATCAAAGTTTTATCACGTCTTATATATGCTTTATTAAGTATAGTTTATGGAAATAGTGATATTTAATGATAATGATTAACAATTTTTATGAAAAATTAGAGGATAATGAATGACAAAGTGAAATTACCACATAGTCATTACCTCCAGTCCAAAAATTATATAACGTGTGAGGAGGATAATGTGATACATTTGATAGAAAACTTTTAACTAAAGACGATAAAAGATGATGTATTTAATCAAACAACAACAAGGAAATCATTAATATCTTCATTTTCGAATATAATAGGATCTTGATGTGATGATGATGATATTCTTATTAAAAATCACAAGAACAGATTTTGATACTAAAGAAAAAATACTTAGAGGAATATCAATGATAAGGAAACATTATTCTCTTCAATATTTTTCTCAAAATAAGTTTAAGGTATGATGATTGGAACAAGCTGAATTAGTAAAAAATAAGAATTATTTAGAAGATTATAAATATAACTTATCTTTATTAAAAACAATCATTAAGCTTAACTGTTTCACGAAATTAAAAGTGTATAGTTATATTCTGAATTCAACACGTGGCGTGGATTTGAAAGCTTGAATTAATTGAACGTACTTAACAGAGATTAAATATGCATTTGCGGCAATTTTATTTTTTCGAGGTCAGGTAAAATAAATGTATTATTCAGATTTTATTATTAAAGATTTTATTTCTTATCAAAAGTTTCGTAAAACAAGTGAAAAATATTCGACAACTCTTAATGGTTACATGTCATGATTATCAATTTTCTATATATCTCTATATTAAATATAATAATAAAATAAAGGATAAAATAATTTCAAATATTCAAACTGATATAAAATAATTTTGAAGAAAGATTGAAAAAATGATAAAATAGGAATAAAATGTTAGCTACCTATATCAAGGTAACTGTTTTAATGTAATGACATTGTTAATTCAATAACAACTCATATTCACGAAGTAATTTTCAATTTTAACTAAAATCTATTTATATTTTATCGATAAATACAAAATATTATTTAAACTATTTAAATAATGAAACTATATTATCTAATTGTACAGTTTGGATCTTATTTTTTGATAATCCTAAATACTTCATAATCTACAATAGAAAATTTTTCACTAGTTGCTCTAATTCGTTTTTCATAAAATTTACTATCCGTATAACAAAAACAATCTTCATCTTGAGTAAAATCGGAAATATTTGATTTCATCATAAATTCACCAATACCAAAATATGGACCATAAATATTCTGATCATTTGGATAATATAGAGCTGCATTACAACCTTTAACTCGGCTGAGAATTGAATTTCGTATATCACCATTTTTCAATGAAAAAATGAAACTATTATTTGTTTTCATATAAGTATGTCTTTTTGATTCATCCCAAGCTAAAGGATTATAACCACCAACTATTTCATCAGTTCCTGCGACCTTTGCAACCACAATTGTACCAGCATGTCCATGGCACATGTTCCAAAATGTTTTGGGATGAAAACCATCTTTACTTCCTCGAAGAATTAATTGAAATTCATAAGGTATATTTTCTAACGAATAATTAGTTGATTTTCGATCAATCCATGATGAAAGTTCTGCAACATGCTTTTTGTTGATTATAGTTGAGAAAGGAAATTCAGAGGTTGAAATGGTTTTTGAAGGTAATTCAGGAGATGAAATGATTCTTGCTGGCAAAATAAGTGATTTAACAGGTTGATTTGGAAACATAAAATATTGAGTTAGGTCATCCCAAAGCTGTTTTTCAAGAATTTTTTTATAGGGCTTTACGTTCTTCCAAATATCTTTACCAGGAATATGAAAATATCGAATAAGTGGTAAACAGTGTTGCAGCGAAATTTTCAAAGCCTTGAAATTTTCTTTGGACCAATCTTCCAAATTAGTAGGTAAAGTAGGATTTTGTACGATTCCCCATTTGATAATATAATCCCAAATTTTAATTTCTTCGACATTCAAGTCATCTTTCTTTAGAATAGAAACCAATGTTGCTTCCTGAAGTGAAGTGAAATCTTCTGATTCAAAAATCAAATTTGGATGTTTTATAATAATATCATTATAAAATTTTTTCAAATCTTTAAATTCATTACTATAAAAGATAGAATGATAAACAAAGGAAAAATGAGTTCTTAACCAAGAATCTTTAGATTTGATAAGGTAACTTTCTAATTTTCCTGATAGTTCTTTAAGTTCTAATTCATTAGCATTTATCATTAATTCATAAATTGTTTTGGCATCCGAATTTTTAATATCGATAATTCCACCATAGATATATCTATAAAATGTATTTTATTTTATTAATGTCGAGTCACAATATAATTAATCTAATATTAATAAATATCTTTTTATTACTTACTTAAGAATAATTTCGAATATTTGAGCAGAAATATTTGGTTTGATAATAGTTTTGATATGATTTTTATTTGTAGTAACGTTCTCTAATTCTTTATCAAAGTATGGTGAACGATAACGTAAGACAACCGAGTGTGCAGTAAAAGATTTCTTATATTCTTCTTCATCAACTTCAATGATAACATTATATTCTTTTTTGTCCTTAAGAAGTTCTGAAAAATCAAGAGATAATTTGTCAAAAAATTTGAAAGACATTTTTTATTACTGACTGTACAATCGACTGTTGTACAATTTATTGTCTTCCATTTAAACAATCATTGGCCTTGATTGTTTCACAAAATCAAAGTGATATGCTCAGGTGAATGTCATATGTTCAAAATTAAAGATTTTATTTCTTATCGAAAGTTTCGTTCGACAACTCTTTATAGTTATTATTATTATATTAAATAAAATAATAAAAGATAAATTATTTCAAATATTTGAACTGATATAAAATATTTTCAACGAAAGATTGAATGATAACGTAAGAATAACAAGCTAGTCACCGATATCGAGATAATTGACCCGGAAAACTGTATCAATAATAATTCATATCACGGTATAATTTTGATTTTTTTTTATAATCTTAAATACTTATAGTCTCTAATAGAAAAATATCCATTAGTAGTTCTAATAGGTTTTTCATAATGAGTATTGAAATCGCTACGACAACAACATCTTTTATCTCGAGTAAAATCGAAGACGAGAAAGGAAGAATTATTTGACTTAATAATTGCTTAGAAAAAAAAAATTTCCCCAGGAAAAATTTGATTCCATCATAAATTCACAATTACCAAATTTTGGATCGCAACCGTTACCCTGATTTTGACAGTTCTACAACTCGGCTGAGAATTGAATTTCGAATATTACCATTTTTAATGAGAAAATTAGTATCATTTGTTTCCACATATATGGTTGGGTTACCTTTGCAGCCACAATTGTATCAGAGTCCATAGCACATATTCCAAAAATTACTTGGGATGAAAACCTTCTCTACTACCTCATAAGGGATATTTGTTAAAGAATAAGTAGTTGATCGTCGATTAATCCATGATGATACTAAAGAGTTTAAAATCTCGAGGTATATCATTATTTTATAATAAATTATGATTATTTTATTTATCATGTTTGATAATATTCGCGTATTCATACATATTATTATTAGGTCTTCATATTAAAATTGATTTCGAAACGGAAAAAAAAATATGCAAGACTTTTGAATCTCAATTATTCAGATTATTATTCTATTTGAAAATGATGAGGAGGAGGAGGATGATACATTTTCCAAAGTTATTATTATACATCAGCAAAAACATTGCAAGAGTCATTAAAAGATTCATTAAGTGATACGTTAAATCTTTGATAATAATAAAAAAAAATAATGATAATGAAAATAGGGATAGGTATAGAGAATCGAAATAAGTATAATATAAGAATTATAATTATTTATTGCCAATTATTCAAAAGAACCACAACCACTGGCGCCATCACCACCACAACGACACGACATAAAGAGAATAATCGTATTTCACATTCTGATCATTTGATTATATTATCAAACAATTCAATCATCATCACAATGATCTTTAACAAAAATATTATTGTCATTAAATGGATTAAAAAAATTAGTTCATGAACTTGATTTTATGCTAAATTATCTAAAGGGGATGGATTGAAATCTATAATTTCTCTTTTAAATCAGGATTCAAATGAAATCAAGAAGAAAATTGCTTTAGTTATGTTGTAGCGATGCAGATAAGTATTATTTTGATTTTCAATTTATTTTTATTAATCATATTTATAGAATAATCCATTAGCTCAAAGTCATAACTATGAATGGATCTCATTCCTCATCTAAATTCACTCTCATCCGAAGAAGGAAATGATATCAAAGTTTTATTATATGCTTTGTCAGGTATTGTTAGTGATTAATGAATGATTTCGATTAACAATTCTATATTATAAATTAGAGGATGATGAATGTCGAGTAAACTGTGCATTATTTATCACCGATTTGTAGATCCAAATATGGTGGTTAAAGGGAATAAAGAAAGTGAAGTTTATGATGTATTTGATTAATAACAACAACAATTAATATCTTTATTTTCAGATATAATAGGACCTTGGTGTGAATTATTTCCAATTTATTTGATCATATTGATGATAATGATAATGATGATAATTGTGATAATGATGATAATGATGATGATGGATAATGATGATGACGATGATGATATAATGGTGATGACGATGATGATGATAATTATGATGATTATGTTATTTAAGATCACAAGAATAGATTTCGGTACTAAAGAAAAATACTTAGAGGAATATCAATGGTGAGGAAGCATTATCCTCTTTAGAATTCTGATCAAAATAAGTTTAAGGTATGGTGATTAAAAAATAAGAATTATTTAGAAGATTATAAGTGTTACTTATCTTTATTAAACAATCATTGGCCTTAACTATTTCACAAAATCAAAATTGTCTCCGAATTCATACGTGGCGTGGATTTAAAAGATTGAATTAAATTGAACGTACTTAACAGAGATAAAATATGACTAAATATGCATTTGCGGTAATTTTACTTTTCAGATCAGGGTAAAATAGGTAGAACAAAATGTATTCTACTCTGGTGAAATAAAATGATGTCATATGTTCATTATTAAAGATTTTTTTCTTATCAAAAGTTTCGCAAAACAAGTGAAAAATATTTGACTACCCTTTATGGTTTTCATGTCATGATTATCAATTCTCTATGTATCCCCACTCTGAATAAAATAATAAAAGATAAATAATTTCAAATATTTGGACTGATATAAAATATTTTTAACGTGATTGAATGATAATGTAGGAACACAATGTTACATCAATTTCTATCCTTCATAAATCCTTTGATCTGGAAAATTTTTACAGTGCTAAAGATTGCCATAGCTTCTCTAGAGGTTTTGTTTGGTCATAAGAGATTGCCTGTTACCTTTTACTACTCGAACCACAATTATTATCTCAAAGAACATAATTGTCACAAAAATCATGTTACAAAATTTAAATAAACCTTATAACGATGAGCATCCTTAACCTAGACCCTGGGTCTAGGATTTTATTCTAGACACCCATGATTTTTGAATTTGATTGGTTTATAATGTGACAGGTGGTCAAAAGGGTTCATGTGAAATTTATGAAGGTGACAAATGTTGGTGACAAATATGTTTTCCACAAATTATGTCCCAGGATATTGTCACGGTCTGTGCAGAACAATGTGAAAAATTAAGCCAATCAGTCTCAATAAATTTAGGTCAATCACATGATAATTCAATGTACTCTATCTCTTGTATGCAATATCTCAAACAC